GCCTGCCGGCAGCCCCCTGCTCTGCTTGCTTCCCTCCTCCTCGCCTGGGAGCTGCTGGGGTGGCTGCGTGCTGGGGTGCTGCTGGGGACAGAGGGCTGTTCCCTCCTTGGGCTCTGGCCCACTGGGGACACACACACGAGTGTGTAGCATGGGCCAGGTAGCAGTTTGGGACAGGGAGCACATGCTCGCCCACACTCCGAGTGGCGGGCTGCGGGGATATCCTCCCCATGCCATCCCCCCCTCCCCCCTGGCCTCGCACCTCCTGCACCAAGCTGTGCTCAGGGCATGACACAGCCCCCGCCGGGGGCTCCCTGCCTCGGGGTGTGCGAGCCTGCAGCCCCCATACGCCGATCACTGGGGGAATGGCATTGCTCCTGGGATCTCCAGACCTCATCAGAGATACCCGTCACCCCCCTGCTGCGGCCCCCAGCTCACCTCCCTGCTCCCCAGGTACACAGCCTGCAGGAGCTGCGGCGTAGTGCATCCCTGGCCACCAAGGTCTTCGTGCAGCGGGATTACAGCGAAGGGACCACGTGCCAGTTCCAGACAAAGTTCCCTGCCGAGCTGGAGAGCCGGGTAGGGAGCCTGGCAGGCCAACAGGGCGGGAGGTGCCCTATGTCAGTGCCCTGTTGGGTGTCTGGTGGGGAGAAGGGTCTGAAGTCATGGGGTTCCCATAGGGTATTGTATGGCCCTGGGCCAGTTGATGCTGCTGGGTGCATGCCATCACGGGCACCTTGCCCGGTATGCAAGGGCTTGAGTGCTCCTGGGGTCCATGGAGCTCTGGTGCAGGGCTGCAGACTCAGCAGGTCTTGGCATGGGTGGGCGGTGGGAAGGGGCCAGGGATCTGAGGCGCCGAGCTGGGCTGGGAGGAGAGGGTTAAGTGCTCCCCAATTCCCTCTGGGGATGGTGACAGGGCAGTGTAGGGGGTGACCCTCTGGCCAGACTCCTTTTCACCCTGGTTTCTGCTCTAGATCGAGCGGCAGCTCTTTGAGGAAACCGTGAAAACCCTTAATGGCTTCTACGCCGAGGCAGAGAAGATCGGGGGCAGCTCATACCTGGAGGGGTGCTTGGCCTGCGCCACTGCCTATTTCATCTTCCTCTGCATGGAGACGCACTACGAGAAGGTGCTGAGCCCCAGGGAGGGCTCGGGGGTGGGCATGGCTTCAGACCTGGCGGTGGGCACAGGGATGGCACAGAGAGGAGGGGGGCTGGAGGCCAGGGCAGGGATCAGGGCTGGCAGGAGGGGCACAGCAGGGCTGGAAGGCCCTCAGTGTCCCTCCATGTGATGGCAGGTTCTGAAGAAGATCTCCAAGTATATCCAGGAGCAGAACGAGAAGATCTATGCGCCGCGGGGGCTGCTGCTCACCGACCCCCTGGAGCGTGGCATGAGGGTCGTATCCTCTGGGCAGCGGGGTGCAGGGGGAATGACAAGGGTGAGGGGTGGGGGGACACTGGGAGTGGGTTTTAGGCAATTAGATTTGTGGCTGGCACATCCCACTGATGATCCTTATCAGGGCCCAGATTGAGATCTCCATCTACGAGGACCGGTGCAGCAGTGGCAGCTCCAGCAGCGGCAGCTCCAGCAGCAGCAGCGGTGG